ATGTATCGAATCGAGAAACAATTCTAGACATCCCAAGTCGCATCCGCGATGCAGTCGCCAACAGGGTCATAGGGCATTGCTCATTGGGCGTATCTGTGCAGTACGCTATGACACGGTGCAGCATATCACATGTTCTCAAGATGCTCCAACACTTCGAGGAAGAACCGTATGTTCTTTTCGCAGCGGAATCTCAATCGTGGGGACAACGGGGACCATGTATCTTGGTATGTTTCAAGGAGGGTTACGGATCCTTGGACCAATTGCGCGCTTGGCTGCATGCGCTGGAGATAGCTGCGATATGGAGTACCCAGCCTATGCGTCCCACTGTGAGCGAAATTGAGGACATGGTGCTTTCGACACACGAGATGCTCAGGAAGGAGTTCTCTCGTTTCATGGGATGCCTGAGGGAAGCGGGATGGAATATTGAAGAAGGCGCGATGATGATGGGGTCGCCTCGTAGTGTGATCATGTTAACGCCTGAGGTGAAGAAGGACGTATGACTTCTTTCTGGAGGCGGGATCTTCATCGTCATCAAGCTCATCGCATCGACCTCTTCTTCCTTCTTGTCGTCCTCGCCGTCCCAGTCGGAGTTTTTCTCCTTCAATCCTTCAACTTGAGCAATTGTCAGCGCGGCGCTTCCTTGATAGTGGGGCGGGTAATAGCTAAAGGGACTTAGGATGGATAGGTGAGGGAGAAGATCGATGAGAAAGGCCATGAAAAGCTGATGGAGGAGCACATGGGATGACTAGGAAAATTTGGTCAGTATATTTACATGTCAAGGCACGGAAAGAAACATGATATCAGGGCCAACTTCCCGGCCTTCGACATCAACATCCAGAAATTGCTCTTTCCCTGCGCCACGTTCTAGGCGCTCCTGCTTTTCCTTGGCCGTCAAGAACTTCTCAAACGCAAATATACCATTCCTGAGTGAAGTGCTTTTATGCGCAGACCAACAAGAATAAGTTTGCCCTGTAATTGCAAGATTTCAGCGTCGTGAGCGTATTTTGCAGAGGATTAGAAACCTAAATCATGAAAGAGCGGCAGTCGCACACAGCCTCCTGTTGAGACGGAGGATCTCTGTTAGTCACTATCATACACAGTGACCCACACGGGAGGCACCTAGCCACCCTTAGGGTCGAAGCACAATTTGCCGTGTAAAAGCGTGGATAGTCGTTCAATTGAGTTCATACGCGGGTGCCGTGGGAGTGCACTTGCAGCGCAATCGGACTGACAACGCTCTTGGCCAATGTTTACTCCACAACCTGAACAAGCCATTCGAAAGAGACTGCATATCCGTAAAACTGGGGATGAGGTTGCTTTTTCGGATAGACAAGTTTGAACGGTCTGACTGTCTGCTGATAGCTGACGCGTTAGAGAAAAGTAACGATGAGAGAAGAGATTTTACCTTCAGGGCATCAAACGACTTTGGTAGGAGAGAAGACATCTTCGTGGTAGAGAGGCTTGAAATAGAAGGAACGACCACAAAGTGACAAGATCTGAGTAGGTCGTAGACATCTTGAGCCTTGATTCTGGAGTGTTATTCGGACGTCGAGCTTTGGTGACTGTCGTACCCATAGCGTAACATGCACCCTGGTTTGATTGGTCCAACGACAACTATATGTGTTGTGTGGCGGAAAGATGTAGTAGACCCTCGTGTCCAGCAGGGTTAGAATGTGGTAAGGACGAACGGTGAAAAGATGATGGAAAGCATCAGTTTCTGCACAGTACGACCTTTCATACATTTCGACAACCTTGGGCGCTTAGACTTCCGCAGGCAGCAACTCGAGGAAATTCTGGGACTTTGATCAGCAAGTCGAGAACAACGAAGAACTATAAGTCTTGCAAATTTCGGGGAAGCATCGATGGATGGCAAAGGTTCGAGATCATTGATAAACTCGAGAGTAGGGCCCACAACAGCCATGCCTGCCATATCAAGGACTAGTACTCATTTGACCCTTTCCATCAATAGCTTATAGTCAGCACGCACATGAGGGTTCCGAACAGCACGTCTCTCCGATGCCACCGCAAAGAGTCCGAGTTCATCGCTCGGTCTCATCCAGCCTGCTCGCTGCATCTTTGGGCTGCGAGCTCCTCGGCTCTGTCCATTGCGATTCGAAGGGGAATACCTACAACCATCAACCGGTTGAGAAAGCATGGAGAACTGTGACCTCAGGTGTGGTCGTATTGTGCTCGGCGCTGCAGTATCCGCTTTATTGGACTTACCGTATAGGGTGGAGGACTTGCCAAACGATTTAACAACCTTCATTACCCAAATAACTGATGATCCCATTAGCGGAGGTGCATTTAGCAAATGTCTGGAAATGCAATTACAATGCACATGGTATTTCAGCCTTCGTCAGTCCATGTGTTAGACTCGTTTATCATGCAAAGACTTATCCCAACCAATCGATTAACACATAAGGTTGCAGTAAAGGCTTTCAGAGATCCAGAGCGTCAAGATTTAGAGACAATCAACAGGGTAAGCGACACGTGCGAGGGCTGCATATGTACATTAGCTCAATGTTACTTCGTGTCATCCAGAAAATCAGCCGAGAAATTGGCATTTTAACGATTCTACGCCACGACAGCATCGCGTACCGTTGTTGGGTACAACGACAGGATTTGGATGGATACCCGAGTTGCGCTGCTTAGTAACACCATGAATTCCCAATGGCACGTTGGATGCCTACCTGACATCTAATCACAAGGATCTAACAATGTTGGACCGTTCACGTATGGTGAGCAGGATTCTCATCACATCCTCTGACGTATCAGGACTGACTCGAAGTTGGAAGCTAGAGGACGTCAGCGCTGGATTATGTTACCGTCAGTTCAATCTATTTTCTCAAGATGTTCTAGTGACCTACCTTTGGTGCAGTGCACTCGATGTATATCATGCACGGGGATATAACAGGGGTGAGCCTGAAGCTGCTGAGGCATTCTTGCAAATTAATGAAGCCGCAGACAAATATACTGATCGACAAGGGAGGTCGTGCAAGGCTAATCGACTTTGGTCTTTCTACCATTGTTCGACCTATTGTCGGACAGTCGCACTTGGTTGCAACAAATATACGCCCAGGTGCAATCCACTATGCAGCACCAGAACTTGTTCTATTAGATGACGGTCCCTGCGACGTGCCTTTAGAAAGAATTGATATGTACTCTTTTAGTTGTGTGATGCTTCAAGTGAGTTGATTGTTTGGTCACAAAATGTTCGCTTGAGGGCTCATTGAACAGATTCTCTCTGGTCGGCACCCTTGGTCTGAGGTCAAGTCGGATTCTCATATTATTGTAATGATATACCAAGGTCGTGGATCATGGCACCCCGATGGTCATCCCGCTATAATGGACTCAGATTGGGACATCATTCAAAAATGCCTGTAATTCAGACCCGAACTTCGACCTTCAGCAGATGAAGTACTCGACTTTGTCATGCATAGGTTTTCCTCGACAGGTGAGCCTGTATAGTAGTTCATGGTGGTTTGTTGACCATCCACTGACATGTGCTTCGAGATTTCTCTAGCCCACCAGACAATCCTTCCGATGATGCACAGCATATTTTTGTATTCAGGAAATTGTTTGGTAATGAAAACGGCGCCAACCCTACTCATTCCATGAACGCCGAGTGTTCAGAAGACAACGACATGATTGCCATGGAACGACAACTCGCCGCGCGTGCTGCACGGACTTCCAGAACCTCCGACGCAACATCTACGCAGTCCTCGGCAATCAACAAGCAACGGGGGTTGCATCCTGGGTCCTTACCTCCTGCACCTCAAAGATCTCCCACTCCAGAGTCTCCAGAGCAGCCCTCGTCACTGCCTCCCTCATCTCCTCAAGAGTCCGCCATACCTACACGCTCGCCTACTCCTGATCCACCTGTCAACTCACGGAAGCAGAAAGCTGTACCTACGCGCTTGCCTACTCCTGATCCACCTGTCGACTCGCGGAAGCGCAAGCAGGTCCCGTTGCAGCCATCGATGATGACAGCCCTCTGACAGAAGAAGAAGAGCCAGAGACCATTCAGCCAGCCAAGCGCGCATGACAACCCGCTGTCAAGAAACTCAAGAAGGCTCCGACTAAGCGCAAGTCGAGGAAATAGGTTAGTCGCATCAGTTTCGTAGTCTGCTCGATACTCATAACATTCGCTTGCTTGTATTTAGAATCACACTACTGCATCATGATCATTTTTACCGGCTCCATTCGCATTCGCATTACCCTGCTCTCACGGACTCGATACTGCTCTGCTGCTCACATGCTCTCATGGACTGTCTTTTCGTTGCAGTCTCCAATGACGTCACACACATATTTTTCGCGATCTCATGTCCAGGCAATCGGTTCGCAGTTACCACTGCGATATTAGATTATATTCCATCGTACACATGTATTTGTATTATGTATAGCTCAATGATAGGTAGTTATTATGGAATATCATCGTGATCTGATGTTATCACTAAATATATGGCTATATGTACGTTGGGGAGTTTTGCCGATGTATATGTGTTGTGTGATGGAAAGATGAACAAGACCCTCGTGTCCAGCAGGGTTGGAATGCAGTGAGGACGAATGGTGAAAAGATGATGGATAGCATCAGTTTCTGCACAGTACAACCTTTCATACATTTCGACAACCTTGGGCGCTTAGACTTTAGCTGGCAGCAACTCGAGGGAATTCTGGGACCCTGAGATTGGACCATTGCAGTGAGGGAGATTGATGAGCAAGTCCAGAACAACAACCGAAGAACTATAAATCTTGCGAATTTCGTGGAAGCATCGATGGATGGCAAAGGCGGGATATTGCTTGACATGATATTAACTCGAGAGTAAGTTGAGAATCAACGTGCATACGTCTTTCAGGGGGCACGTGATACCTGCAGCTGGGCCCAGGACTATAAGAGTGAAATCGGTACACATGCAAAGTAAGTAATGGAAGAATTCGAACGGAGGGGCCTTGTTCAATATTTTCCCCATTACTTGGGTTGCATTGCGAGGAAACAAGTGTAGATAAATCCGGACTCGAACCGGAGGCCCCCCACATGCTAAACGGATGTGATGACCAGCCACACCATATGCCCCACAAAAGGGCGGCTGTTTATGGACTATATATCGATGATCACGGAGGAGTATATGTTGCAGGTTGTAGATAAGTATACAGGTTTGATACAGGTGGTGTCTAGATGTCTGGTAAGGGTTTAGTGTCGAAAAGTTCAAACAGTCTCCCTCGCTTGCCCTCTCTTCTTGGATGGAACGGACCGTGGTGTGATACTATATTTACTCCACCACGTAGGCCATAGTGTTAAAACAGTAACAGCAACCCAGAAAATGCTTACAATAACCAGCGTTGCTAGGTTTGTCGAGTGGAAAACAGAAATGCCCAGAGCAATAACAAAGTAGAACATTCTACGTGAGCGTGAATAAACCCTTCATGCTATGCAGGAATATTACTTACCCCCAGATCAGGTATGCAATCGGAAGGCTGGACATGATCGCTAGCGCTTCAATGTCTGATTATGTATGAATCATCAGAGCCATGAAAGATGCCTTAATGGACGGATGAGCATTACATGCAGTAGGCAACGCACAGCGCCTTTGGCTGAGTCCACACACCGTTCGCGAATCTCGGCAGCGAGAAGTATCGATACCACCAGAGAACTGATGGGGCATATCACCGGCAGATAAATGATCAGGGCCGCTGCGCTGATGATCCCAGGAATGGCCAGAAAACTAATGTCAACTGCCAACATCACAGTGGACTGGCCAAAAAGGTTGATCACTGCAATCTCCAGCTTATTTAGAGGAACTACTTACGAAGATGGTAACGTTGTTCCAGTCATTTGTAATATGTTTGCACCACTTAGGATAGTTCAAAATACCATCCATGCATATGTTCGTCAGGGCTTTGTACTGTGCAGCCGGTGCACCCCAGAGGAAGGTGTTCGCAAGCCTTAGTCGGAGTGTGGCCTTTTGTCCACTTTGTTCAATTTCGTATACCGACCGGTTAGCGTTGAGATGCGCGGTGACTTGCCCATAAAAGTTCAGGAATTTTGAACGAGCTGAAGCATCGATTGAGTGACTGTTGGTGTTATCTCTAGCATTATTGCTATGCTCACCGAACAACCGCATGAGGCGAGCTTCTGGCGTGTAAACGGAGAGTGCCATGTACATAGTATAGACCGCACCTAGCACGCACACGAGATGAGCGGGTAACACCACAACCACCTCACTTGACGGCGTTGCAGATCCTACATAATCCACTAGATGGTTTGAAAGCTCTAGCATGTTCTGTAGCTTGGAAAGGTCATAGGGAACGATGGAGGTATCAGATGTTAGAACGTCTACAGAGACATCCCCATTCAAACAGACATTACTATGGGAAAGTAGGTCGAGAACACCAACCTGCGTGTGCATGAATAAGAACATGTTTCAGCTCTGTGGCAATCTGAGGTTGGATGGGAGCATTGTTTGGGTATAGTTCACAGTGCATCCTTCCTGGTCATGATGTCAACCAACGACAACATTTAACTAAATGCATTATTTAGAAACGTAGGGCTGAGTATATGGGCGATAGGCAACGTACATAATGCGATCGACGAACCAATATTGTGCCTCGAGAGCTATTTCTATTGTTTGCGTATAAGTCAGCCTAATTCAGGAGAGCCAAGAGACACTCACTGATGTGAGTATCCGATTTCACACCCTTGACATATTCGTAGATACATATAGGATGATCGAAATCCTGCAGTCAGAACAGGAGCCGATTGTTGTGCTGCACGAAATAATAGTTGCATGCGTCGAGTCATCGATCATATCTCTGGCTTTCAAGAGTAACTGGTCAGCTAGATGATTGACGGCTTTGAGTTTCTTAGATCTGCGTCCGTGAAAACGCATACACGAGTGGTGTCGTAGAAGTACACTGCTCCTTCCATATGTACGACACTTTGCCAGCCGTCAACAGGAGTGTCTGTAAAATCCTTCTTTTTGGCAGGGATGGGCTGGGTCTCGACGTCACTTCTTCTATATCATAGTCATCGAACATTTGAGATTAAATAAAACCTAACAGGAAAAAAAGCATACACAAGCGCCCTTGCTCTGTATCGCCGGCAAAGGTGGGGAGCCAATGGTTTGAACCTCTCGGGATCCCATTCCATTGATACTGTAGATGGTGGCCAGGAATCGATGAAAGTGCCTGAGAAGCTCTTGAGTCTTTGCAGCTGCACCGCGAAACTGCGAAGGAGATTATGTCAGCCATGCACTCCCCAATTGATTAAGGTTTATAAGTGAGGTGCAAAATATGTTGGATTGCAAATGCGAATTGAGACCAGCACTTTTCACACTTTTTTTCCCCGGGGGAACACATATTTTGTTCCGGGTGTTGGGAGGTGATCGTGATCCGTCAGAGCACCCGAGCCGGTGTCATTCTAATATGACGTCTGTCACTGTATATTTTCTCTTTGTTATTACATGTCACTCACCTAGTTACGCTCATTTCTCTCCCTTTACTTAAGGCAGGCAAATGCCCTCGTCGCACCTCAGTCTCTTTACCATAGACTGAGGTGCGTACGCTCTTGTTGATCCTGTCGATAGTATACTCATTAGTTTGCTTCTAGGCTCGCGCTATCTTAGGTTCGTACATTGGGAATACAGTCTCTTTACCATAGACTGAGGCTCGCGCTATCTTAGTTCTAACCTTTAAGACCGGGGGGGAGGGGGATAACTAATATTTGTGCAGATTCAATAGCATAAAAGCCACTCTGGTCCAACCGCAACCCTTTCAGCTGACATGATTTGGCTGACAATTATTACGCAAGTTCCACAGGAGTTTTATCGCCGCGGCGCATCCGGGTCCCCTAGATTGTCATGTACCGGAGTGCAAATCATTGTGCCTAAAGCTTGAAGCTTCAAATGAAGCCAATGAAAATCGCTCAGAGTACGTGACGTACGTCCGCGTCATGTATCTTAGTCAATATCAGACTCATATCAATTGAGTGTTCAACATTGTCTCTATTTATTCAAAGGCGCCTCCATTGCCCATGCAGCAGTGTCATTTGTCCAGACTCCAGGAGCAACCAAATTGACCAAGTTAGCAATGAACTACATGAACTGTGCCATCAACCACAGCACCAATGCGAAAGCAGAAATACGACCCACTGTTCAGATGCGCTCATTGACAAGCTGCCAGCCCATTGGTCACGGCAGTCTATTAGTTGCAGAATTTTTTACCGGTAGGCTATTGGCGTTACACGGTGTAAGGGGTGAGTAATGGGTTGAATCCTGGATGAAAAGTAAACTACTCATACTCACATCCACCAAATTACAATGATAGCCAGTGCAGCAATCCTTGTCCTTCTTGCAACCCTTGCCTTGGGCACTGCATGCGGTGACAGACATGCATGCTGCCAAAGCTGTAACGATGAGGAGGAAGGAGAAATGCATGATTTGTGTGAGGTGATACGAGCTTTGCGAAGAGGAATATTAACTGATATCTCTGAGGTGAACACGGCTTGCCTTTATACCCTGAAAAAGCGTTGTGAGAATGGAATTTCTATTGGATTGGCAGATTGGTTGCTCCTGGATGGGAGAACCTCACAGCGGATGATGTAGGAAGAACCTAGTGAAGCCACACTCTCGGCGGATAAACAATCCAGAATTCAAGCATATAATCATGAACTTACAAACACAACCCAAGGGACGGAACTGTATAGCAGAATACTCTCGAACCTACTTGAAACCAGGCTGTTTCGTGGCCTCTGCGAAGTCCTGGCTTTGGATAGAGGTCACCTCTCCAGAGAGCAACACATCATAGATAGCAGCAAGGTTACTACAAAAAATGAATGGGTGGCGACGGAATGAAGGTTCATTCACTTTCTCCCATGTATTCTGAAGCACATCACAGCGCTAGGGGATCACCGAGCTATAGCTAGATGAGATCGGCTGTTAGATTAAACATTGAACCGAACGGCTATTACTGCGCTTCTCCCTTCTGCTTGCTGTTCCAAAAGGTTCACGTCATGGAGACACGTGAAAGTCAGTGGATCCGGCCACTCTTGGGCTATTCCACGTAGACTTCTGGGGCAACTTGAACCAATCCATTGGAAATGATGATGGTGCGATCATCACAACGCGCCACGAACACTTGCCCGCCACCAATTCTATATGCCTGCCAAACGGATTGAGTACTAGCACCTTGCTGTAAAATCCGTTGATACGCAGCTAGGGGTGATGGCATGAGCCAGTTGATGGACAGTTTACACGGATATGAAATATGCTTTACCTGACACTTTTTGTTGAATCCGAGAGATGTCAAAAGATACCGATCTCACGGGTGCCCACTTGGTCGATTGAGCGCACACAATCTATTGATTTGATGGACTACGTCCGGCGAGCAGTCCTTGTCTGTTGTATTTTTGTAGCACCCGCATCATGCTTAGATCAAACGTATCAAGGGGATGATATTGTAATATATATCAATGAAAATCCTGGGAATCAAGTTGAGGAAACCATAATCACCTTGGATCTTACTAGTAGTGGTAAGGCAGGAACTAAAGGCATCGGTAGTGCGAAACGCGAGTATAAATAATTTGAAAGGCAAGGCTGTCTGTTGGTGCGGGGGCAAATCTGGGAATGCGCGATGCGAAAGGGGATGTTCCTGGCGTGCGGACTCGTGGACCCGAATTCTATCTGCAAGAGCACGGGAATGCCATGCTCATGTCATGCCTACGGAGCCCGACACGGGAGAACTGTCTAAGTGCCAAGTCCTTTGGATAAGGCACCCAAGTCACTTTGTCTTTGTCAATCCCGGGTCGCGGGCGCCGCGCAAGAGGGTACCGCAGCTGGACCGCTTGCACGAGTCCATCCCGAGAGACCGAAGGAGCTTCGAAAAGTTACACCTGGCATTGGCTGGTGCGCGGCTGCGCCTGCGAGAAAGGCATTTCAAGCAAACAGTTCTTTATTGTGTAGAAGGAGCGACTAACTTGCTTCTTCCATATTAGGTCTGGCAAGGACTACAGACGGAAAAATTCACGTACAATCCAACTAGGAAATTACGGTCTTGGTCGGCATTAGCTCAGTCTTCTTC